GCTTTCCCCCTCTTCTCTTCACATTGCAAATCTCTTTTTCTATGTACAACTGTAGATTGGTAAGTGTCCAGCACCTATGGTGCCCTGATGCCTCGTCAGTTGATCTTTCCCCAGGAATTAAATTAACCAATAACTATCATTTGGCTCTTATTACAATTTAAGGCACATCAGGAAGAATTTTTTCAATTAAACTGTGAGGATCTAACTAAAAATCTTCTTATTAATTGGCCCGACTCTCCCTAGTTTGAGAAACAGGCACAACCCAAAATGCACCCTTGAAACATCATATTCTTTTCTTGGGACATCTTTTCATTCCTGTTATCCCCAAGACATATGAAAGCAAATTCTTCATGTTTGTTGAATGAGTGAAGAAAAGATGTTCTCATCACTCCATCTTATCTCCCTTTCCTTAAACAAATTCTTACTTAGTGCTTATTATGTACCAAGAACTGTTCTAAGCACTTTATGACTATTAACTCATTAAATATTCAGAAACTTTTATGTTTATTATTTTTCTTACATTACAGATAAGTAAACCAAGGCACAGAAAGGTGATGTGACTTTCCCAAAGTCACACGGCCCATAAAGAGAGGATCTGAGTTTGAACCCAGCTCACCTGGCTCTAGAACCTGTGTCCTTAGCCACCTCATGGTATTGCTTCCCTAAGAAGTTTTCTCAAGATACAGTCTTTCCAGCAAGACTTCTTAGCATTATCTTCCTTAATTTTGACCCTTGGGAGGAAACGAGTTTGCTGTGAAACTTTGAAGGAGGAGTTTAATGTTTCCGTATTGAGAGAGTCAGATTATGGAACAACTGAGGCTGATGGGAAAAACTTTGATTTCAACATCCATCAATCAAGTGCAGCCCCTTTGTGCTGCACTGTGCCAGGTCCTGCAAACTTGAAGGTGAGCTTGGTGGCTCCTGCTTTGATGAGCTCACGGGTTAGCATAAGTCCCAAGAGAAACCCTGTTACAGAGTGGAAGGAAGTGAGATGCTTTTGCCCTTAGTCCGAAAGAACCACAATGTATCGTTTAGATGAAGGACAGTGATGGGCGGTAGAAGCGGGCTACTCCAATCAATGGGAGCGGCATTTACAATTAGGCAGGTTTGAAAAGAGAGGATAAGGCTTTTCCCAAGAGCCCTATGTGGTTTTGGATAAGTGGAGCTGGAGGTGTAATCGAGGTTAGAAACTGCAGGCCACTAGTGTCATGCTAAGGAATGGACTGGTCTAGAGGCAGGGTTTTACCAGACCTAGTTTACGTGCCACTGTCACCCTCAGGATTTGCTTGGCTCCATCTGCATGAGCCATGACCGCTTGCTCTGGTTGCCATAACCTTGCTTGTTCAACTAGTCCTACATCAGATTGGTCTTCTTGGGCAGAAGCCCTCGAGCTAAGTCATGAGTAGCTATTATTAGAATACTAGCTTCTCACCCAGTAGATGGACCGTAATCTTAGGAAGCTGGAATGCTCAGGACTTCTCTATGTGCTATGAGGTCAGCTTTCACAACTGGTGATGAGCTGCTGCATGCTGTTTCAGGCTCAGACCTATTACTCATTCTCTAGTTCTGGCCCTGTGGGCTGTGGTGTAGAAGGGGGGGTTTCCAAATTGAAGTCATCAGTTTCCCCAGCTCCCAGTCTCCCTTTTCTTTCTTCCTTCCTTCCTTCCTTCCTTCCTTCCTTCCTTCCTTCCTTCCTTCCT